CGCGACGCAATCGCGTTACGCCAATGTTGCGCTTAAGGATTACGTGTTTCCAAGATATCCTACCGTTTAACCCTTTTACCTATTCTCCCCCTCTCCGTCATTCGGCATTTGGTTTTATGCATGCAATAGTTACACTTTCATAAATGCGTCTTAGTTTGTCGAGAAATTATATTAAAGAATAATGCGAAAAAGATCTTTTTTTTTTTTTTTTGGAAGTAGTCGTAAAAAATAATAAATAATAAAAAAAGAAAAATAAACGTAAAGATGATCCCTTCGAAACGAGGAAACAAGGCTATTGGCAGATTCAAGGAGTCAAGAGGTGGAAGAAAAGGAAAATATGAATGTAGCTTATGTGCGTGAGAGCTATTGCGTTCATTGAAACATCGACTGGTACCACCAACGTTTCTTTGCCGAGATCGTACGTATGTAAAGCCATGAGCAACCGTAAAAAAGGTTTACGAGCAGTAAAAATCCGACAGCCGTGTGCGCTTCCTACCTTCTACGTTCTCATAGTGGAGTGGATAAAATATAGATACTCGAGCTTGCGCGTATCTTTTTCTTTTTCTTTTTCTTTTTCTTTTTCTTTTTTCCTTTTTCTATTTTTATTCTTTTTTCGATCCCTCTTTCGCTTCACCATGTCTCTTTCTCCATTTATTCGATACACGTGATAGAACAAAAGGCTGCGTAATGATCCGTCGGAAGTGTTTCATTTTATTGCAAACGAAAAATGAAAGAAAATGAGACGCCAAATTTTTTGCTATACACAAATTTATTCAAAATTAATATATATTTACACTTGCTTCTTTTTCTTGTTCACAGTCAACGTATTTTTGTGTATTTTATTTTATTCTCTTTGTCTAGAATTTTTCTGTGCGTGTGTGCTCTTTTTTTCTATATTTTGTTTCTTTCGAATAAATCATTAATAACACGAAGATCGATCATTTTTCGCGAAGCACTACTTTAAGAATTACTTTTTTTGTCGACGAGATAGGTCTGAAAAGTTATCGATCTCGATAAAAGTCCTTGGAATTTATTTTTCTCGTAAAGAAACTTGTATCTTAATCCCGGGATAAAAGTTGGCCTGTGCACATACGCGTAGATGGATAGAAAGATTCAATTAATCATAAATAGAAGTTTTGAATGGTTTAGGAAGAAGATGATGACTGGTGATGAGCACGAAATCAGGATATAGGAGATTTCGTTGGAAATTGTCACTAATCTTTTGAAAAGCCACTAAAAATATTCGCGTCGTTTGCAATAAATCGCGATTATAATCTCGTTTAACGTTCTCGTTAACGTTCGAAATAAAATGATAATTTTTTGTCCTCGATATTTCGTAGCTGTTTGTTTTGTTTTATAGCGTAGCCGTTGGTTCATCGGTAGGGGTTGTTCGTGCAATCGATGTTTGGATTTTGTTTTTATTTCTTTTCAGTTAGAATACACGGCGGAGAGGTTATAAATATACCTTCCAGCTTTTCAAATCGTATATCTTCGACAGTAGCTGAGTTACGATTCTACTACAGTTTTGCAGAAGAATAAATAGAAATTTCTAAGGATTATCTCTAAAGAAAAAATTCGGTGATGCGTCTATAATATATGGGATATTTCCTAGAACATTTTTTTAAATGAGTTTCTTTTGTTCGCATGCTACGAACGAAATCACCGCCGCGTCTTTTTCTTTTTTTTTCTTTTTATTATCGTTAACATTTGTTCCCAACTATTTTCTAGTCAAAATAAAATTCTATAAGAGTTTCGTATTTACAAGCATGTTTCACTTTTCATGTAAAATAACGATTATCGTTGGCAGTCGTGCGAGGTCTTTCAACGAATGATGACGCATCGAGAAAATGAGAAGTGTCAACGAATGAGACTTTTGTAATTTCCCTCGTGTGCCATTCGTCAGGCACTTAACCACACGATCCTAAAAGTACTTCGTGAAAGTACGAGGACTTCTCTTCTCTTTTTCTCATGGGTGAGGCAAACTCGCTACTGCTTTCTGAAAGTATGAATGAAAGCCAGCAGCAACGCTCATATCGTGTATTTCAAAATATGTATCTGTACGGAGGTAGGTAGGTAGGTAGGTAGGAGGTAGGTAGATATCTATATAAACGTACACATGCAGACGTAGGGAGGCAAGATTGAATGCATTTATGTTCTTTGCAAACGTCGACGTTTTAAGTAATCAGTCGACTGATAAAATCTCTTTTAATAGATCCACATTTAAATGGAAAACCTCAAATGATCATTTACCTTTCTAGATGATGAATTAGTTGCATTTCAATCGGATTACAGGACGTTTTCAAATATGGAAATGTCTCCTCCTATGGTTGGGGAGCAATCGAAAGTTCTACTTTGGCAAAGATAGAATAGAGTTTGCAGTAGTCGGTGGAGTGAAAAACAAATATTGTCCGATGCTTAGAACAGACAGGAGGACATGCGAGTAGAGAGCTCCAACGAAGAGACACATTTTGGTGAAACTGCACCGAGCCGCGGAACGAACGTGTCATTATCCTTCGTCGCCAAGGTCCATTAGAAACTAAATGTGCTACGTTCCGGCTGGTAAACATCCAGGCTGCCTAGGAGAAACCTGACTGATTGCGTGGATACGGTAATTGTGCGCCTGGTTACAGAATCAGCTATATACGGCCAGGAGAGTAGAAAGTAATCAAAAGCTACGGATACGAGAGACCGTAAAATGTGATAGAAAAGTAGAAAATGATGAAATAGCGAGAGATAGGAAATACCACGACAAAATCAAACAAATTAAACAAAACGACAAATATTACCTTGGAATCTTTACTTTTCATTATTTTCAACACATTCGTCGTTGACTTTTTTCTCATGACTATCACGTCTACCTGCTGTGTTAGACTTTTTCTCTTACTTTTTCTTTTACAAAAGAAAAAGAGTAACAACAGGAAGAACGGATTACCTGGTCGAGAGCGCATTGTCATGTAATCATATTGTGTGTATCCATACAAGGAATGAAGTTTTTTCTTTCAGCATGTAACTAAACAAGAATATAGAGGATGTTTAAAATTATGCTTGGTGCTTATGCTCGATAAGCGAAATGTAATACGTATACGCAGAGAAAATAAATACCATCGAATAATCCTGATGCGTGATTGCATCCTCTCTACCTTCCATTATATTATAACACATTGCCGCGTCATTTGATGTGACTCGTCACTCGTCACATGATTATTTTACGTGTCTTTTTCAAAAGAAATTCGAGAATATCAAATTCGTTAATAATTGCACGCGCTTAATTATCCAAAAACATGTAGCTTTGATTCGCACGATCAAAAATAATATCAAGTTAGCTTGGTCATATAATTAAAGCAATCAACCTCGACTAATTGATGTTGATTAGTCAAGTAACAATAATCATAATATTTGGAAATATCGAAATTTCGAATAGCATTTAATGGATCGATGAAAGCTCTAAAAATTCAATCGTACATTCTCGGAAGACGGAATAAATATAATTATTTCGATGTTTAGGCGTTTCGAGATAAGACACTCGAGTATAATTTTGGTCGCGCTAGCACCCAAATGGTGTAAACTAACCGCCTACGGAAAAGACTGTAACGAGCGATTACGTATAAATGGAAAGTTGAGAAAGTAAAAGAGAGAGAAAGGCAAAAAAGCTTCGTACCCCCCTACTCTCTTATGGAAGTTAAAGAGAAGGAAGTAGAAAATGTGAAAAAAAGGTAGTCACCGTGTATACGGAGAATCTGTTTTAGTCCAGTACAAGCCGTAGCTAGATAATTATCTCTCTGCTTCTGAAAACGTTATTTACGCTGCCCCAGCTGTGCACTAGCATCAAACCACTACCACTACCACTACCACTACTACTACTACTACTACTACTACTACTGCTACTGCTACTGCTACTACTATTGCTGGTGCTAGTAAAACGGTTAATCGTATCCTTAACCTCTGGCAAATTTAACATTTCAGTCTTTTACCCAGTAGATATAAACAGTCAAATATTTCATTTTGTATTCTATCGTTACATATAAAACAACGTTAAAATAATATTCTTTCAAATAATATAAATTATTTGAAATTTTCTGAAAAGAACAATATTTCAAACGAATAAAACAATTTTATGATTTTGTACTTATTCCAAATGCCATGTTGCCATGAACAACGACGATGACAGGAGATAATCCTTTATCCGCGTTCTTGTGATATATTGTATATGAAGAGATTATTCAAACGAATAAACGAACGAAAATGGTAAAAAAAAACCAGTCATTTGAAGTAAGAAAAAAGGAGAAAAATTAGCAGACTAAAAGAAGCAGAGAAAATAAAAAGGTAGAGAAAATGTATAACCCAGCCTTTGTGCCATTGACACCTTTATAACGGCTGATTCTTCTCATTTATCGGGATTTTTTCCTTACTTTGACATCGGTTTCGTTTTACCAAACGGAAAGGCATCATCGTAATTACTATACGACGAGGGTTCGATCTCTGTTTTTTCTTCTCTTTCTCTATCTCTTTCAATTTGACTTTTAGCTTTAATGATATTATTATATTTGTCATTAGTATTAATCGATCGCATTCGAATACTCGAATTAATTGCTTCAATATTGGTAAAGAACAAATTTTTGGTATGAAACGTAGAAGAATTTCATTGATACTATTTACGTCTCATTAATCGTCGAAGGTTCGATGAAAGTTCCGTTTTTTTACGCTATCTCGTAACTTTAAGTAGATAGTATCAAGCAACGGTCAGACTTAGGTATGTCTCTCGATGGCGTGACTTATCGTTAATAAAATATTCTTAAAAAAATATAAGTAATAACATTTATGAGACAATTTCTACAAGTGATTAATTTCTATTAATCGTTTGGTCGATTGGTTTTTGTAGTGGGTCCCATAATTTTTTCCCTTTGTTTCCCTTTGTAATAGAGTTATTCCTGATTAATCTCTTAATGATCGAACTTCAAAAGAGATATCTCTAATGAAATGGTTTTTGTGTTTTGTTACAGACGAGTATTCGCAAGTCCTTGGAAAGAGGTTTCCGTTTGATCTGGGCAGCAAAGCCACCGAATAACACGAAAAGCAATAGGATAAAGACCGAGTGCGGATATAGTAAGTACTTTCGAGAGAACGACTTAAAGGCAGAAGAAATAGGATAAAGAGAAAGGAAGAATTGGAAAAAGAGAAAGAAGAACAAGTTCTTAGGCCCTCGACGATACGTAATTCGACCTTAAGGAGAAGAATACGTTGAAAGTAGAAAAAAGTAAAGAAGGAAAAAAGAAAGAAAGAAAACGAAGGTATCTCTCTTAGCGTTTTATGGAACTTTTTGACGCCAATGATTTTGTCTTTAGAGAAGAGGAAGAAGAAGAAGAAAAAGATAGTTTGGTGTTGGAGAACAATCAAATCACGAAGAATAGAATGAATGAAGAAAAGCGTCGCGGTAGAATGCAAATGATTTCTCGTGAAAATTTCTTTCCCTCCTTATTCGGAATCAATCTATTTGGAATGTTGAAATAAAAGAAAAAAAAAAAAAAAAACTAGAGGGATTGTCTATAAAATTTGGTGATAAGAAAAAAGGAAATAAACGTGTTCGATAGGAGAACGTTCACGGGATTACGTAGCGGTTCTCGAAGCTCTTGAAAGGAAGAAGGAGGAAAAAGTAGTAGTATGGGAGAAGCCAAGAAAAATGATATTGAGGCGGAGGACTGATTGAGAGAGGCAAGAGAGCGAGAGAGAGAGAGAGAGAAATGGCGACGAGCGAGGATATTGGTGTAACGAGTGCGACGCGTTGGGGTTTATGGTTTGCTGCCGTACTCCTCGCAACGGCCTCGTTGGTCTATTCTCAGGTCACGTGGACTCCGATCTACGTTGGCGGACAGAGTAAGTAGAAATTCTTTGTGCGTCTTTCGTCCTTTAAGCTCGAGCTTAAGGCTTAGACCACAAATTGGTTCGATACGATTCTCTCTACCTTTTGTTTTTTTCTTTCTGGTCTCGATAACATTTATTTTTCTTACGAATTTGTCCAACTCTTCCGGTTAAGGGGATTGTGTCGACTCGCAAACGAACGTTAAGCATTCAGATATTTTTCGTACCAATGAAAAATACTGGAACGAGTGACGGTGAAATATAACGAAAAATTCTTCGCGTCTCGGCTTGGCGAAACAACAAAAAGAATCGCTTTCGCGCTCGGTGGGATCGATATTACCAACTGCCGAGGTCGCACATGCTATACAAGTATGAGAGAGTGGTGGAGAGAGATATGTATAGAACTCACGAGAAGCAAGCAACGAAAATCGATTTTGTCAATTAACAAACTACGCAAACGAGTCAAACTAATGGCGTATCAAGTTTGTTCGGAAAGATGGCAAACGAATGAGTTGGAGAATAGGGCGCGGATCGTCGAAGGGCGTCCAACGAATTGTTGGACGAGCGTTGAAACGATTAACGTAGACGTCCACGGAATTTATATCATTTCATTCTGATGATTCAGCATAGCCCACGGCGACACGTTTTTCTCTGGGAAATTGCTATTTCTATAACATAGACAAAAGTTATTATATTTTATTTTATATAATATAGTATATAGAATAGAGATTGGGGGAAAGAAAAAAAAAAACTTGATAGGATAATAAATATAACCTCTCTCCCGCTAATTCCATTCGAATGTTATTTTTTGGTCTTATTTCCTAGACTTTTTTCCATAGTTTGGCGAACGGCAACACGTGCCGTTGATAAATAGGAAAAGCGTTTTCCGTTCGCGAGCTTTAATCAGGAAGAGTCGTTCGGTTCTCAACGGGGAACGAGACGATCAATTTGCGCGATATCCACGAAGATATTCGTTTTAGCAACTCCTCTCTCTCTCTCATTCTATCTAGGGCGATCTATCTCGGGTCGCGCGATAATGAAATCCACGCTGACGTTTTTGGCGCGCGATTCGATATTCTCGAACAAACGCACAAATTTACGGCTAGCTCGTGTTCGATGGCGTAACCAATGCCGCGTCGTCTCGATCGTTTCGACTACAAATTTTCGCCCCGTTAAATTATCGTACTTTTGTTTCAATCTCTTCTTCATTTTTGTCCTATATTATCGAACGAATTGAAATTCGATGCATGCCGGTGTGATACACGTTTGATGAACGAAGTGACAAAATTCGATGGTATTCGCTTCTGCACCATCACAGAACTACTATAATTTAACGCGTTGTAGAAGATTTGAGGTAACGACGTTCGGGATTTTTCATAAAATTGGCCGATAATAAAAAAGTTCCTAACGGGGATATCTTTGGTTTGTCAAAACGTTTAATTTGAGTTCGTAAATCAATCGTGTCGAGTATTACGTTGAACTTTTTTTAACGATTGATTAAAACGAAACGTCATTTTAAAACAAAATTATCGTATCACGGATAAGAGAGGTAAGAAAGATCGCGTCGGAGCGATTAACTTGAACGAATCATTGCCAATATGAACATTCGATTCACGTAGGAGAGATCGAAAAGTAATCAAGTTTTTCCAAAAGCTGTACGGATCTTTTGCGACTTGAGAATCAATGCGAAACGTGCACGAAGTTAACTCGATTTTCCCATCGATACATTCAACGTTATATCGCAACTCACACAAAATATATATAACATAACACGAAATACCGAAGAAAAAGAATACAAAATAATAAAATGTTTATCTTTGTTATTAGAAAAAGAAAAAGAAAAAAGTAAAATGAAGAATAAATTGAATTTGGTGTATGGTCGTTTAGCGAGTAAAGAACGTAATCGATCTTTCGAGGTGGAACAATCGTTCGTAACGAGCCCAACGGCGGCGGGCATCGTAAAATTTAACGTCCAAACTTTTGGATCGTAACGCCAGGTTGATGCTCTCGAATACGGAAGAAAATGCTTTTCCTTCCTATAAATCCAGGACGTTACCTTAATCGGGGCTGGATGTTGTCGTGGTAACTCGTGTCCTGCTCGAGGGTTCAACCTTCGAGGAAGGAGATTCAGTGGAATAATTCGAACCACAAATGTCGTGTAGACGATTCGAATCGGAAGTAGAGAAACCCGAATAGTTTGAAGGGAAGAAGGCTGACAAGAGCCTCGCTAGTGTAGAGAACGAAGAGAAGACTCTCCTTTGCAGTTAGTTGTCGTCAGTAGCAGGCTGTACTCTAATTAACGGCGAGTAACAAGGGTACCTGAGAGAGAGAGAGAGAGAGAGAGAGTCGTCGTTCTATAACTTCTATAACGCGAGAGAGCGAAACGCAGACACGACCTCGAAGTCGTATAAAAGCACCGGAGTAAGAGGAACGCGAGAAGAATGAAAGAGAAAAGAATAAAGAGAGGAAAAGACAGGTCAAAGATAAACTTAGAGATGGAAAACCTTAGGGGGTACTATTATCGATTTACTTGAGCTTTACAATTCTGCTCTTACATTTTTTTAATTAATTACTATACAAAGATACGTTTAAACTTTACTCGTCTAAATTGATCAAAAATCTCATTACGCGACTAAGAAATTAAAGTTAAAAAAACGTCAAGGTCCGTTAGGTAGAAATTCAAAGTTATTTTTACCCTTACCTTCGTACCTATTGTAGTAAATGGAATTTTGGTGCTTTTAAATATCTCGAAGAATTTTTACACGCAAGCATCTTCTTGAAAATTTCCGTTCGGCCGAATAACTTGAGGCCGTAAAAAGTAAGAGGAACAAGCTGCTCGTAAAACTGTAACAAGAATCGGCCTGGATCAAGAGAAAACGGATGTTGCAGCTGTTTCCTGTCGCACGTAAGTTTTCGATGGAAGAAGAAGCCTTCGCGTATTTCGAGAAACGGCTACGTTTTCATCCTATTTTTATTATTTCTTCGCGATCTATGTTGGATTACTGGTTTTTCTTTTTTTTTTTTTTTTTCTGAACTTTCAATCTTGAATTACCGCTTTGAAAATAGGATCCTTACAATATCTGTATCTATTGAATATTTTATCCACAAGCTTACAAGTCGATAAAAATGTCACTCAATTTTCAAAAGTAGTAAAAACCTAACGCGTGCACGACGCATACGAACCGTTTCTTTTTAAAACGAAGCAAATTCATTGTTCGTATCTTTTTGAAAAACGAAAATATCGCATCGGATTACAATCGTAATTATATTCAACTTTGAATTCCCATTACTTTACTACTAATAAACGACCTATGAATTTTGTTTTCAAATATTTCTTTCCTCGAAAGCACGTTTCGCGGACGATTGATCGGTCGTTGTTCTTGTAGCAAAAGTAGAAAGGGGTAAACAATAGATTCGAGGTGAGAAAACGAATGGGAAGTACGGAAAGCACAGATTATCGTTGATTTTGCGGTTGGCCAATCGCAGTTTCCGCCGCTCTACCCAACACCAGAAACGAAAACAATGCTGCAAAGAGAGAAAAAGAGAGCGCCCTTGGAAGCCACCTGCGCGCACTATGTGCAGGTGCATTGCAGTTTCATAGTCTTCGACCGTACTCACCGTCCGACTAGAACCGTGAAGCGAACTGTAATCCTGTTTTCTAAATGTAACCCAACTTTGGCGAACATGTGTACGTCCAACCGCAAGCCCTGTTCAACAATTTGTCTCCACGCCCAACATCCCACTGTATTCCGTGCCCTTCTCTTCTCTTCTCTTCTCTTCTACCGTTTCCTTCCACTTTCTCTGTTCATCCCTTTCAGAACGAGAAACCACATTTGAAACTATGCAATCTTCGATATATGTATGCAATTTTACTTTTCGCAGAACTTGCTGTATCCAACTTTTCAAAGAATCGTGTTTGTCTCGAACAAATATTAACTCTCGATTGCGTTGTATTTTAAAACATTGACGAGTAGAGATTTTCATTGGATCATTTATTAGTAAAATATTTTCTTGATATAAGTGGCTTATATATTACTGTGTTTATTGTATATATATCGTTACAGAAGCAATCTTTACCGAAGGGATCAAATCAAGTAACGCAAACATATACTTAGTTGCCGACTCACAACGATGTGGTCATCCTTTAATCCTCTTTAAACTATCATCAAATTTGTGTTTAGTAATGAGTTTACGTTTAACTTGTTTGCGCGTTAATAATTCTTTCTTAATGTGTCAAGAATTTGAATTTTTCCATGAAATATATTTATTATTTTCAAATAAGATCTATTTAATATTATTCGTATTACTGCGATTAAGTTCTTTTAAGTTCTATAGTGTTCCAATATATGCGAATGTGTGTGCACGCACGCATAATACAACGAGACTAGTAGGATTGGATACTGGTCGAATGTGGATTAGACAACGTTATAATTTGCCGCATGAGTGCTGCCAGTCTTTCGATGAATCGCATTACCATATGGTAATCGCTACAATTTCGTTATCGCCGTTTATTAGCGAACAATAGTAAGATCGTAATTTGAAAAGTGCATATTCGAACAGTATAACAAAGTTACGTGACAAAGCTGGACTCGTTCCAATTAAAATTCTTCAATTTGTTAGATTCCTATCAATTGTTAACAAGTATCGTAACTTGCACGCAACGTTCACGTATCCCGATGTGCAAGAACAATTTCGGGGACTCATCATCGGACTCGGCATCGGACTCGGCATCGGAAACGGCTCGTAACTTGCTGGCTGGCAAGAACAATTAGCCAGGAGTCCGTGGAATTGCCAAGGGCGATACAATTGGCTCGTCCCCGCCCGGTTTCGTCGCGAAACACTTCAACATGTTCCAACCGTGGATGAAAATACACGTACGTTGAACACAGTGATACGTGGAGATACTCTACCGGTGATACTAAAGCACTACTACTAGTACAATCAACACAGGTAGTAGCACCAGAACGTCGGGTAACGTGAGTTACTACCCTCGTCCAAGTTTCTGTCGACGGCTC